GTAGCTTTGTGGAGAAAGGTCTTAGCTTCAAAATCATGTTTTGTTTTTTTGGTGTTACATTTCCATTTCTGGTATACCAAAGGATATACAAGACCAATAAAAAGTTGTGGGACTAGGTGTCCTGCACTATATATCAGATCAACAACACGTATTACAAAACGTGAAACGGAAAAACACATTTTTATATATATAATAATAAAAAACTTCAAAATAACAAAAATAAAAAATAAAAATGTTTAGAAAAAAGAAAACTAAAAAGGTTGTTCACGAGATTCCAAGAAATTTAAAAGAATTAGGTTATCAGATAAATGAGAAGGGACAATTCCTTACATTAGAAGGTAAACAAATACATATTATTATGTCATACATAATATATGTATATACTAATTATTTTTGTTTTGTAGGAGAAATTTATAACTTTGATGTAAAAGAAAGATCATATAATGAAGCTTTATATGATGTTATAATTGGTATTTTACTGTTATTTACAGATTTGTTTATAAGAAACTTAAAACTAATTCTATAGATGTATTACACATATATTTATTTAGAACTTTTGATGGAATGGGTCGAAGAAAGATTACAGAATGATTTTGGATTACAAAAAATCTTGCTGCCTATTAATGCAACAAAAGATGATATTCATAGCAAAATATATGTTAGGTACCAAAGAAAAAAGAATCAACCTTGGTTTTTAATGTGGGTGAATTAAATAAGTTCTGATAGTTATTAATATAATTTTAATTTTGATAGTCCAGATTATCTTGAAAATGATAAAATGATGATTTTTATTCCTGGAACAGCTAATATGTAATGTTATACTTTCTAATGATATATATATACTTAACACATATATGTATGCACATGTTAATAATGCTTATTTATTAATCAATTTATCATTGACTGATTGGTTAGGATTGGATGTTGGTCGAGAAGAGTTATGATTGATGTATCAATTAATGTTTGTAGATTCAAACAATTAATAATTGAATAATTGAATAGTTTTTGATAGATATGTGTATGTAATGTTAAAAAGAAAAATTTTTTTTTTTGGAATTAAAAAGGATGGATCAATGATCTCATATGTTAAGCGAGCAAGAGAAATGGGATTTTCAGTAATAATTGTTAATCCTAATGAAGTATTTTGGTATAAAGGAAAAGCAGTAGTACGTATTTTTCATATTATATTAGAAAATGATTAATTGTAAATCATAAAATTAATTGTTTAATTAATTAATTGTAAATCATGAAAATTAATTGTTGTTTTAGCACACTTTACCAAAGACAAATGTGCCATTTAAAATAATCATGGGTATATAGCTATTTACAAGTCTATAATAATAAAATCATCACTTTTTATTCTTATATACTGACATTTACATTTACATTTACATTTACATTTACATTTACATTTACATTTACATATATTTAATGATTAGGAAGTGAGACACCAGAATCTCATACCAACTATGTTTTTGAAAATTTTGTCATGTAAGAAAATTTATGATTTTATCTTTCTGAAAATATTGTTTTAATATATTTACTTACATAAATCTATATACACATGCATACATATAGACCATCATCCGCAAATAAAATTTTTATTGTTGCTAATAGTTATGGAGGACATTGTGCTGTTGATGTCATGCAAAACTTTTGTGAGTAATTACATAACAATAACAATTAATGTTATTATCCTATTATTAACAAGGAGTGTTTTATATTTTAAATAAACAAATCAGTTGAATTGTTGAAAAATAGAGTAAAAGGAATAGAATTTACAGAAACAACACATTCAATTGATTTTGTCAAAACTATACTTGTTAGATATTGGATCATCAAAGTATGTATTGCTTCTTGGGGAATTTATTATTATTATATTAATGATTAATAATATTAATCAATATTATGTTACTCTTTGATATATTTATATTATAAAGAATTGTAGGAATTGGCTTATGTCTAGTGAACCAGCAGGAAGTGAAATACGCGATAGCAGATTTGGATGTATTTCTTTTTCATCTGGTAAAAATATACAACTTGTAACATAAAATAATAATTATGTTATTATTATTAATACAAACACATATTAATATTGTTAGGAGCTGAAAATAATGAATTTGTGACATATGAAGTTATTGATAGGGTTTTTGAACATGTTGCTAAGAAATTGGAACAGTTAGAAAATGGAGCCACAGAATCTAATGATGAAAATGAAGAAGATATAGAGGATGAGTATTTGAATGAGCCAAGTTTTTTCCAAAATACAATAATTGATGATGTACAAGATAAAGTAGCTTATAGTTTTGATGATGATGATGATGAGGGATCTGGTTGGCGAGATTAAAACAAATAAACCAACTATTATCTTTTTATTTTTAATACACATTATACACTGTATAAACAAATATAACAAATAACAAAATTTTATAAATCATGTGCTTTATGTAAATCATTTAAAAAAAAAATCTTGCAATAATGTTTTGTACAATAAAAAATTTGAATAGATTGAATATATTTCGAATTTATAATAATCATAATAGAATTAACATTTTTTATTATCACAATACTATTAAAAAAAATTATATGGAAAAAGGACCAATACATTCTAGCATTCATACCAAGGTGAATGATAATAACAATAATAATAATAATTAATATTAATGTTATATACAGTTGTGTATTAATATAATAAATCAAATAGTTAGCAGAAGCTTTAAAACCAATTGATTTAGAAATTATCAATGAATCAGATTTACATGCTCATCATCAAGCTATGAAAGATGTTAGTAGTAATGAAACACATTTTCGGTAAGTTAGATAAATATGTATATATTAATTGTAATATTGTAATAAAAATTGAATGGGACTTTTATATATATATACACATAGCGTAAATGTTATTTCTGAACAATTTGAAGGAATGGTAATTATTATTCAATCAATTTATCAATTAATTAATTTATTTGGTTTTATTTTTTTATATCTCACATTTTATTATAATTGATAAATAAGAAACTTATGGAAAGACATAGATGGATATATCAATTACTTGGCGAAGAATTGAAAAGGGGAGTTCATGCTTTATCAATTAAAGCTAAAACACCAAAAGAAATAAATAAAGAGAATTGATAAAGAGAAATTGATGGATAGAAAAGTATTGGAATAGTTTGCTGTGGTTACAGTCACATAATCTATAGTTTATTTATTTAATAAAAATCTGAATTTTATATTGATATTATATTTATACAATATTAATACTAATACTGAAAAATATGGAATATTTTCTGTGAATTCTATATAGTGTAAAACATACGTTTTTTTTACTGTACTTTTTATTTTTTATTTTTTTCCTCATAAAAAAACTAGTATTTATCCTCTTCCCGAATTGAGACTAGTTATAACTAACCACTCATCATGTTTTGAAAAATGCATTTTTATATTTAAAGTTTTATTATATTTTTTAAATTCAAAAATTATTTCTCTGTATATTTTCCATTAACATGCACATCTAATGATATCCAATTTCCTAATGTGGGATCAACATGTTTTTAAAGATATCTTTTATAATCTTTACAAATTCATCTGGTTCTTTCCTTACTTCTTTTCCTTTCTCATAATTTTTATTTTCCATAAAGGCTTTAATTCTTTTTCTTATATTTGTTTGAAAATGGATCAGCTTCTTCCTTGTATGTTTTTACATTTCCACATACGTACCAGGTCTTCATTCTCTTGACAACCTTCAATTGGACATTTATTACTTGTAAAGATTCCAGGGTACCTAATACTAAGGGTTTCCATTGTAATTAGATTATTGGTGTATAACTCAAATTTGGTATTTGTTAAATTATCATTGTTTATTGGACTGATGCTTTCCATATTATTGTTATTAAGGTAATGCCAGATGATTTCCCAGTCCATTTCATTGACATAATTGTTATTTAGTTGGACCTTCTGTAAGTAGCTCTATTATATGTGCAGCGAAGAGCATTTTTTTTAACTTTTTTTTTATATTTCAGGAAATTTTTAACGCCTTATTGAATTGTGTTTTTGGTATGTTCAATTATTTTTTTTTTGATATATCCTGTATGTATTGAATTGAATGATTTATTAAAGTTCGGCAGGCCTGCTTTTTTCATTTTCTACCTGTTTTTGGATTGTAAGTCAAATCCGATTCATGTGTAGATCATGTATAATCTAGTGACCATAATTTGACTTGTTGCACAAATGTAAAACTTTCAATTTTATTCATTACAAGTAACAAAAAACCAATGAAACAATGAACTGAAGAACCAATATAAAAGAACTGGTGAAAATGATCTTAAGCATTTTTGATTACAAAGATTTTGTTAAAAATAATCGATCATGTATACAATGAAAAAATTTTTTTAAGATAAAAAAACAAATGAATTACATAATTTGAATCTTAAATTGGTGTGTTGTGTAGTAGCACCTTACCAAGCACCGGTACCAGTATACCAAGCTCCTACGACACCTGTTTAACGCAAATGAAAAATTCTGAGGTTGAAAAAAATACTTTTGGAAAGATTCATGTAAATTATATAGGATGTTGTATCTCAATTAGCAAAATTGGTTTTAATTATGATGAAATATGAATCACTCATTACCTTATTCAATAAAAATGCAACAACCGGATGTGATGATGGTGGTGGAAGTGATATACGTTCTTTTAAAATGAAATCTCAAAGAAAACAAATTGTTCGTGGAAGCTTAACGTTCGTTTTAGACCTAAAAAAATTGTATGGCAATAAGTGATACAAAAGAAAAATATGACTATAGATTGAATCCAAAGATCTAGAATCGAGAGCTAAGCTCAGAGTTGCCAGACAATGTGCACTGGTAGAAATCTAGTTTTGACAATGTTTTGCCAGTGATCTAGCTGGTAAAATTTGGGGTAAATTAGTCTCTTTAACTAATGTTTCTAAAATTAGTTAAATATTGGTGGAACAAACCAACGTTTATTTTTGTCAAGATCGAAATTTTTGACCAGTGATGATGCTAAATGAAATGAAATGTTTAAATACATATGATAATTTTATCAAGGATAAATGTAAAAAAGATAGAATAAAATATCAAAGTGTAACAAATTTGAATATTACATAAATATTCTGTTACTTTTCTAGTGATCTATTGAAACGTTTAAAAATTAACACAAATGAGAATTCATTAAAAACTTTGTAAAACCATTAGTTTATCAAAAATATAAGTGAGAGCATGAAAAAAGCAATGATTGCACTTCAATTCTAATATCAATTTGTGTAAATAGGTTGTTAATCAAGAACTTAATAATGTTTGAGAAAAGGAGTTTAGAGATCTGCCAGTGATGACATGGATGTGGATGAATTAAAATGGCAAATTATTAATTTAGGTTCCTGAAGATCATTAGCAACAATTTGCCCATCATATTGGTGAAGTATTATTAACAATAAATGAAAATATACAATGATAATTGAATGGACAAATATTAATAATGATAATATTAATATTGTAATAATTCACGTCGTCTTCAGCATTTTTCTTCACGCAATAATATTATCCACAATCATGTTCTTGTTTAATGATTTTAATTTTAATATTCAAGAAAAAAAAATCACAGAGAATAATAATGGCAGCCAAAGTGAAACACAACAACAATGCACAAAAAATTAGATCAGCTCTTGAGTTATTAAAGAGGTCAGCTATTATTATTATTTTCTACTATAATATATACACGCATTTATACTATCCAAGTTTTTAAATTATTTGCGATAAGCTTTATGTATTAATTATTTAATTATATCTAGCAAACATATGATATATATATATATATATTATTATATATTATACAATGCATTGATTGATTATTCTAATACTTTTTCTTCTCTCTTCAATAATAATAATTTATAATTATTATTATCAATAATTATAAATATTATTTAATGATGACCATATTCTTTCGTTCTCGTCATCTAACTGTTACTATCATACATGACAAACTGATTATAATATTTCTAATGTACGATTTGATTATGTGGTATTATTTGGAAAAATGGATCTCGGGAAAAATAAAGATTATGTAGTCGTTGCAAATCTTATCGGTCGGTAAATTTTATGATAACAATTTATTTCTTTATTTTTATATAAAATAAAGATGGTTGATTGTCGGAATTTTTTTTTTTTTTAAGAAAATTTCACATGATAATAATAGTAACAATAATATTTTTTTTTTTTTATAAAAAAGATTTTATTTATTTATTATATAATGTAAATATATATATAATATTGATATATTATATTAATATAAGTTAAAAAATAAAATACATAAATAGTAGATAAATGAAAATAAATAAATCTTAAGAATAAAACTTAAAACGAAATTATTTATATAAGAAAATCTATATTCTATGTTATGAATGTGTGTGTATATTTACAGAAGCAGGTATATAATTGGTGCTTGTTTATATGTGTGTGTATGAATGGAATGAAATCGAAATTGAAGGAATTAAAAATTAAATAATAGAAAACTCGATTCTAAAAAAAAATTCCGTAAAAGTAAAAAAAAAAAAAACAAAGAAAAATCAAAAATTCGATTGATTCCAAATTTGTTTGTTTGTGTTTATGAATTCTTCGCGAAAAATTTAAAAAGTCTAATATTTACTACATACATAATATAAATTATCATCGATGATAAAAGAAGACGAGTTAAAGCCATTGTTATTTTCGTTTATCGAAGGAGTAAAAATATCCGAAATTACTGGTGAATCAATAATATTATTGTCATTTGAGAAACTATGATTAGAAGTTGATATTGGTGTTGTCATTATTGGTGTTGTAGATGTACTGGCATTTCTGTTACTATTCGGATGAAGATTATAATTATAATTACAAGAAGAAGGTGAATTAGAGGGCGATGATGGAAGAATAGGACTATTGATGTTGCTATTGATATTGCTATGAATCATATTATTATTATTACTAGGAATTACAATATTATTGTCGTCAATAATATTGATGTTAAAAATGTTATTATTCGGATATTTTTGCATTTCTTCGATTCGTAATGTCAAAAGATCGCTGGTATTATTTGAATTGAGTTCGAGTATGGTATTTAAAGAAGGAATAATTTTTGACAAATCTTCATTTTCTTCCAATATTCTAGATAATAAACCAGACAAAAGTTCTAAAACCGGACGACAACCAATTTCATTGACAATATTTAAGAGTTTTAATAATAATACACTTTGATGTTGAAAACGGAGAAGACATTTAAATAATGATTGTGAAATATCTCTTTCCAATTGTAAAATATCAATTTTTGCATCCTTAGCGTCAGTTTGTTTTTGATGTTTTTCAAGATTTTCTTGGGTTTTTCTCAAAGTTTCCGTCATTCCATCAATTTGTCTAGTCAAATTTTCAACTTGTCTATTTTTCCTTGGAGATTGATCGAAAACACAAGTTCCTTTTCCACAATTTGTACAATCTTTTCCTGCCAATGCATCGCCATCGCATTTTACTTTTAATTTTCTACAATTCATACACGCTCTCTTATTTATTTTGCCACGAGGTTGACGACGAGTGTTAGCGGTGGTCGTGTTAACTATATTGGAAGTAATGGAAGACGAGGGGCTACTAGCATGAAAAGTTAAAGGTGTTTCGCTGATACTTTCTTTGTCGCAAGAACCAAAGTTGTTGTTATAATTATCATTGTTATTACAATACGTATTAAATTGGTGAAGGTTGAATAAGCCGTTGTTAATATCAGAAATGTTGTTCATTTTTAAAGAATTTAAATATGTATGTTATAAAAAAAAAATACAATATAATATCGCAGAGGTTTTTTTTTTAAAGAAATAAAAATAAATACAAACAAAAAATAATTGTAAAATGATATTGATTAAAAGAAAATTAATATTTTGTTTGCAAAGAAAATAATGAGAGGGGCGAAAAGGATGTATTTATAGTTTTTTTTTTTCCTGCGTAAGTACAAAATCAATAATTTTTTTGCTGCGATGAATATCGAATTATTTGATTATTTGGATTTGGAGGATTGAAAAATAATGGCTAAAACTTCCTCTTTTTATAGGTTCAAGCCACATAGTCGACTGTTTTGTTTAGTGGTGCTACGGAAGGAAAGAAATCTTTTCTCAAATTTTGTGGCTAAATATATTTAATTGGTTCTAGACGGAGTTGGAATGAAATAATCTACATTAAATTCTCCATCTTGGGATGAATGATTAAAAAAGAATTTCTTTAAAAAATTTGTCTTTTTTTTTAAATTTTATTTTTAAATTTTTTAATACTAAATTAAACAAACATCATTTAATATTATACCACAATTAATTGTTTCCTTCTCTAAAGAAAATTTCTTTGGATTAATTATTTATTTATTATTTGCACATATATATATACGTTACCTGGTAAAAAATTTTATTCTTATTAAAGCAATAAAAATATGCGCATTAATCAATTTTGTAATAGAATCAAGTGAATTTTGGTTAAGAAATTTAATAAAGAGCAAAATGAATGAACGAATTTGTAAACGAAAAAAATTATTAATCCATCCCTTCATTCATTCATTGTTATTATAAATAGAAACTTTAGAAAACCTTATATAAATTATAGAAATCTTATGATTTTAGTTCACATGTACAAAGGTTGATGATGATAGAAGAAACAACATGATAATGATAAAATCCTTTTTCTTTTTCTCGAAAAATTTATTATTGATAATTCCAAATCTGTTTGTACTACAATAATTTAAATTAATACATTTTTAAACTGCCAAATTTGGAATTTCAAATTAAAAAAATTTATTTTTACTTATTCCACTAAAACCTTCCATTCTATCTAGAAGATTTCCAAAGAAATTCATCTGTTTATTGTTATTATCTTCACGACCAAATTTGTTTTTTTATTTAGTTTTTCAAGTAATGATTGTCATTTGCAATCTATTAATAAAATTTTTTTAATAAAAATATATATATATGAATGTGTACACAATATATATATATAATAAAGTTTTTGATCGTTACGCTTGCTATCTTTTAGTACTACGGCGATGATAATTGAATAACTATGATGATTTATAATGACTGCTCTCATATTTGATTTCCTCCTAAATGAAGAAACTTTCTTTCTTCAAATGATCAATTGTAAGCTTCGTCCGTTAATAGAATTGTTTCAAATAATCGAAATATCTCCACTGTATAACTAATTACCAAGATAATTTTAACACCTACAACACAATGAAATAAATATTCAACGTTCCCATGAACTATAGCAAAGATGTTCGTTCCTTTGGATGAGGAAACTGCCAGCGATTGGTTTGTTTTATACTGCTTCCTTGCATGCCATACGGATCAATTTTGAGTATGTTTTATTGTTGGTATTTTTTGGTATATAAAAAAAAAAAAATGGTATATGACATTAACGAAATTGGCAAAGGCAATCCGGTCGTACACTAAGAAACTTTTTTCCACAAATAATGAAGTTCGAAAACCTTTGCATACTATAAGACCATCATCGGTATTATCATTATTCAAGGATACCTTTTAAAAGAGCTGCTTTCTATGATAAGTGACCACATCTTTGATATGAAAAGGCTACTGTTTATGAGGGAAACGTGAAGATTTTACGTCTGGAATTTCTGATTATTGATTAATAATGAATGAGCGTTATATAATAGCTGAAAGTCGTGTCAATAATAACGACATATGTAACGTGGATCTTTTGAACTTTCCAACTGACCTTATCCAACTGTTATTTTTTTTCAGAAAGAGATTGATCAGATGACAACATGTGCTTTTACCAAATCTTTTTTTGGTAGTGATCACATCAACCATACAATTGAAATCGGGTCTTTTATGTATGTAGATGTTTATTGTACAATTGGTATTGCGTTTGTAAAAGTGTTTATAAGGTAATTTGAATAATACTGTATTTCATATGCATATTTTTAGAGAAAGCGCCTTACGACCATCAACCCAGGAACCGGAAAGGGCCCCAACGAATTCCTTAAGGAAAACAACCAACAAAGTAAAGTTTTAAATCTTTAATCTTTTAAATTATATTTATAACGACCTTCCTCTTATTAAGAATACACATTTGATACAAATTGGTCAAGTATGTATGTATGATGAATCGGTTAATTTGTCACATGAGAAATTATTAGTTTATATTTATGAATCTGCTAGTAGTAGCTTTGTAAATATGTGCAATACGATGGACCTGAATTATTTTGCCAATGCCGCGTTAATTCATCGCTGTCATTATTTCCTTTTTTACTCAAATCACAGGACTTATGTTTGTCTTATGTTTTTGAAATATGTGTTTACGAATCGTTGATTCAACAGATAGTTCTAATCTGGTACTGACATTCATTTGCTGTCTGCCATCAAAAGCTTCATCATTGCTTTCAACATCCATGAATTCCTCACTGATCGTTACCGCTTCTTAAAAAAATGAATTTTTTGATCGTTAATATTAATGTAAAAAGTGATATTGTTCATTAGCGATTTTACAAAAGTAATTTCATGACTGTATCTTTAACACAAATGATCCTATTTTTCGTTGGTGGTACTTTGATTCAATTATTCCCAATCGGGCGGTATTTGTTAACTTCTCTGTCTTTGTTGCCTTTGTTAACTTTGTGGCCGACGTTATTACAGTGATGGCAGAAATAGAACTAGGGGTGCTACTTGATTTTTTAATTAGTTTACTTTACTATCTTCATACTATCGTTATCTGAAGATGGTGATTTTAGCGTATCAGGTGTTGTAGAGATTTGAAAATTTTACCCTTTAAAATTTAATATTCTTTAAGGCTGCCTGATGCCTTTTTATGTGCTACTGATACCATGCGTTCTTCATAATATTGCATGAATAAAATGGAAGAATAGGTGACAATGATAATTGATCATAGACCTGTAAAGCGTGGTTAATAACAACCAGATATGAAAAATATCTGGTGTTAACCCACTAAATGTACGTTAAGCTATTTCGTGATCTTTATATTTTTCTATTCAAATGAGACGCCTAGAAAAAACAACATATATTGATTATATTCTCAGAAGTTTGAGTTTTAGATATTTGTTCCAGTAAACGTTGCTTTTCTAAGAGTATAAAATAAAAGACCAGATGATACGAAACTATTGAAGAAAACTGCCAATAGCCAGACGGATTAGTGTTAAATTTTTAACCTTAATCTCTCTCTGATTAAAGGTCGTGGATGGAAAATGAGGTAGAGATAATCGATTAGTAATTTGTCCAATATATATATATATATATATATATATAAAATAATAAATTTAATAGATAAATGTATATAGTAAATTTCATGGCTTTTCCCCCCACAACTCTCAAAGTCAATTCTGCTATTTATAATCCATCTGTCTTATTTTTAATAATAAATTTTGTTATTCAAAGGTCGTGTGACCCCACATACGATTCCTAATGTTCTCCAATATGTGAAATAATTGCCTTCACAATATTCGAAAAAATATACACAGGCCAAACAGCAGAACATTGTAGTATACCAATCACTGTCAAAGCAAAGTCCTAAGAACCACCTTGATTCTTCGTTTGTCAATACCTCTGGATCTAAGGACGCTCCCGGCTAATAGGTAATAGACTTAAATTTTCATTTGTAGTTGCTAATTGACATCTGATAAACTTACTTTAAAGCCAGAAAGTATTTAATCATTTAATTTAACTTGTATAATAAAATTTGATCTATCATTTATATTGATTCATCACTTCTTTTAATTCCATTTCAGATTTTTAAAATCCGTGTAACAAACAAAATATTAATATATAATTATTATGTTTCAACAATATTATTATGTTAATGGATTAGTTGCTTGAAAAGTAAGTTTCATTGTTATTTTTCTTCAAAAATTTTTTTTTCTATGTAAGTGATGACAAAATCTTTGAAAAAGATGATGCATAGACAAAAGATCTATTTAAAAAATCCTAGAAACAACAATCTGATTTTGATGAATTAATCAATCTTGGGTGTATAAATATTGTAAATTGAATGCGAATTAAAAGTATTCTAACCTTTTTTTCTTTATTTAATTTTAATTCTAGAAATAACAAGAAAAACAATGTAGGTTTTAATTTTTCTTTCACTTGCAATGATCCGAGGCACTCATTATTATTATTGTTGTTGTTGTTTTTGTTGTTATTATTAATGAGAAATTATTATTATATATAATTATAATTGTTATCTGTTTAATAGAGTGATCTCGACATTTATAAAGATGGCAACAACAACAACAGATATTGATGACAAAACTAATCAACACAATTTTGCAGAACATAATAGAGATCATTTCAATGAAAATGCAGAATCTTATGATAAACATCCATACGTAGATTCGATAGTGACTAAATGTGCAAATGCTATTTTGGAAAGGGTTGGAGATAAATTCGACGAAGAAAAAACTGAGGTGATGGAGTTTGCTTGTGGAACAGGTAATAATAATATTTCTCGTTCTAAGGAAATAAAATCAATATATGTTACCTCTTATAACAAAAGTATTTTTAACTTTAGGTTTATTATCACAAAAATTATGCTCTCATGTAAAGTCAATTCTTGGCGTAGATATATCGCAAAGTATGGTGGATGTATATAATAGGAAAGCATGGCAACAAGGTATTCCCAAAGATGAGATGGAAGCTATTTGTTTGGAGTTAAGCGAAGGCGATCAATTAAATGGAAAAAAATTTGATTTTATTATTGTAAGAGGATTTTTAATCTACCTACATGCATATATCATATAATTCATTTTCTATAATATAATTTGTGTATCTAGTGTGCATCATCGTATCACCACATTGATGATGTATCAACAATCACTAAGCTTTTATCCACTTACCTGAAACCTGGTGATGGACAACTGATTGTTCTCGATTTGAAAAAAAATCTTCATTCAAAGAAATTTCATGAGGGAAAACATGGACAAGAAAACCATGTTCATAACGATGTGAATCATAAAAGACATAAAGACAATGTTGATAACGTTGTGGCTCATAAAGGTGGGTTTGATCCGGATGAGTTGAAGCAAGTTTTCGTTGAAACTGGTCTATTGAAAGATGTTGAGGTTGAGGTGGCTTTTCGACTTGAAGATAAAGATTGTACTTTAGAATATTTAATTGCTAGGGGAAAAAGGGGTTTTCCTTTGGACTAAATTCGACTAATCAATTGATTGTGATTTTTTCAAAAAATAAATAAATATTAAACTTTAAATTAAAAAAACCTTATATAATCAATATCGTCAATCGTGATATCATTAAACTGTAAAATATCTAAAAAAATACAATTTATAAAATATGGTAATTTTAAATTTTATTAGTATTACATAAACAAATATCGGAATGTGTCAATTATGATTGGTGTGTGAGAGTTAACTTGATGATTCGAAAACTGGAAGATTTAAAGAATTTACTATTACTACTTGACAATCAACTCACCCGGGCTAGCGATTATAATCGCATATACAATTAATATTAAACTTTGCAATTCTCTCAAGTGCTGATTTTCGGGGACGCAGCAAATATATTATTCAATTAATGTTGTTAACTTGATGATTTAATGTTATCACAAAACTAAACAAAAGATTTACCCCAGATTTACTTTTTGAGATTTTTTCCGTACATATAATTAATGCATACATGTAACTAACTACCTACATAACATTTTTTTTTTTCTATGAATTCATATGTCGTAATTAAATCAAAAAGAAAAAAAGATTTTCTAAAACTAGTAATTTTATATTTTCTTAATTCTTAATTGGTGGTTTTTTTCCGGAAATATTTTAACACCGTTCATTTAAATTAAACTTATTTCGGATTAGAATGGTTTGTCAATTGTGGATATAAAAAGTAAATTTAATTTTTTTTATTTTTTTATTTTTTTTATTAATTACTTCATTTCTTCTCATTATTTGTTTTTTTTTTAAAATAAAAAAAGAATTTCTTTAAAAAAAAATTAAAACATTTAGTAAATATGGGAAGCTTTCTATCAAAAAGTTTATATGGTTTTGGACATTGTAAATATAATAATGTTAGTACTGGTGATTATGGTGAATCTTTTATAAATAAATCATTAGAATCAGATGATACATTTCATTTGAATCATCATATACAAAGGGAATTATGGCAATCTAATTTTTCTTCTCCAGTTGAAGATTTACTAAAAAATGGCAGCGCCAAAGTTTTAGATGTTGGGTAAATTATTCAAAATTAATCAATTTCCTTCTCGCCTTCCTCTTTTTCTAATAATATTATATTTTTAATAGTTGTGGGCTAGGAACTTTTTTATGTGAAATATCATCATATTATCCAAAATCAGAATTTATTGGAATTGATGTACTGTCGTTGTTTCCAACAATTAAACCATTCAATGTTAACTTTATAAAAAAAAATATTATAGATGGTTTACCATTTGAAGACAACTCATTTGACTTTGTACACATCAGATCTTTATTTTATGATTTCACAGAGTCTCAATGGATGAATATTATTTACAAAGGTAAAAATCAATGTGGATTGAGAGATGCGTGGATGGATCGATCTGCTGTTTAATAATGTTTGGTTGATCAAGTGTTTAATATCTAACTAGCGATCAATGTATTGACCAATTTTCTCCTTTTTTTCTCATTATTATTATAGAAACATTGAGAGTACTTAAACCTGGTGGCTGGCTAGAAATTGCTGACCCAGAAACGAGAGCTTATAATACTGGTCCATTGACTGATTTTTTGCTCAAATCAAGTAAATAATAGGATTTTTTTGCATAATAATAATGATGATGATGATGATTATGTTTTTTTTTTGCTAATTATATTTATTATTTTATTTGTTGTAAATAGTATCTAAAGATGTAAGTTTAAGAAATATAAGTTCTTGTATTGTTGACAGCCATGATTCAAATCTTCGTACAATTATTTCTAACAACAAAAATATTAATGAACAAAAGGAAAAAATAGTCATACATCACGATAAAAAACTTTACCAGATTGGTAAATGGTCAGGGAAGATTGGAGAAGCAACATCGATATTTATGATTGGGTATTTTAGAAATTATTTAATAAATAAAGGAAAAAAAAAGGGAATCTTAAAATCATACAATAAAAATTTCTTCAACAATAATAATAATAATAAGGATAATGACAATAATCATGAAAAATTAAAAAAATTAAAAGATTATGAACAATTACTAAAACTTATATCAAACGAATTTGAAATTTATAAAACTTATAGTTTTTCACATAGATTTTATTATCAAAAAATATGACAATGATATAATATAATAAACACAACATGTAAAATAATACACTATTAGATAAGTTAAACTATCATTCATTTTCATCGTGATAAAAAGCTGAGGTTTCAAAAAAATTAGATGCTGATGATATTAGATTATTAATAATAAAAAAGTAAAAGTTAGATGTAATCTACTAATTATTCACGTGACAAAATTGATTATGCAAATTTAATTATACTCATTAAAAATTATGATAAAATCCAAAATAGAATCTAAAATAGTAAACAAAAATGGATTCCTGAAATAAAAAAAGTTACTTGTTCAAACTGTGGAGTAACCGAGTTTTTTGTTAAAACTTCTTTCTTGTTGTTTTGTATTCCAAATATTGATTGTATCATGTCCGTTACAATGTTCGTGCGTATTTCCTTGCATCTTCAGAGAGTAATGATTCTGGTGCATAGTAATAACAATTATGTGAAAAAATAGGGAAAAGAAATAGTAGATTTAGTATGAATAAATAAATACATAGATTTGTGTAACAGCTCTCTACGACTTGCAAAGAAACTCCGGACACCTGAATCAATTCTGGACTTTTGGTTTATTAGTTTTGTAATTTTGGACTTTTACATAAACCCTAAGATCCGAACTTCCTCAGGAATTGCTGCTTTTTAAAATTTGTAGCGCATTGGTGAATGTCCAACATTGTACAAGACTCCCTCCCCTGATCTCCTTTTGTTGTGATAATCGTTTGAATGTCCTCGATTGGGAAGCTTTGTTTGGTTCAAAAGCCATTGATTATATTAATACTATTTGTTGATTCAAAAAAAATATTTGAGTATGTTAATATTAGGCTCGTAAAAATACAAGAATTCCTCTAATCTTCTTGATAGAAAGAATATCACGGTATTTAACATCGAAGACAGATGCTCTAGACAAGTCTGCCGACCTTTGGTCATCTGCCACAGACAGGTGAAACACAAAAATCAATATCATGTAAAAATATTTATTTCCCATTTTTGTTAAAGGTCCTTAAATACGGATATACAAAAAGAGTACCACACTGAATCAAAAAATTTAATACTAATTCAGTCGTTTATAACTATTAAATTATCTAACCATTTAAAGATTACACTTTCTGACATTTGCTGATCATTGAACATAATTACTGTATATAGTGAAAAAATATATTTTAATATACAATAATTTTATCCCAAGAACATTACTTATTAAGTAAAAATTAATCTTCATATCAAATATAATACATTGAAGTTTTGCCACATATAAATAACAACCGATTGTTTTACAAACCTTAAAAAAATTAAAAAATCTTTACTTTGAAAATTGACCACAATAGCAAGTTCTAACAACCTTTTGCATACTATTTATTAATCTATTAGTTCCTTCTGGATTATTATTAAACCATTCCTCTTTTAATAAACTGAATAGACCTTCCTTTTAAATCCTGATATAAATTTTCAATGGTATTTCAACTGTGCTTGGCTATTTCTCAATATGAAAAATAAGCCTTTTTAAGCCAATAATTTCTCCACATTCAAATTCAGATAATTGAGTAGTAGCTTTGGGCATTTTAAATTTTCTTTAAAAAAATAAAAACTTGTTTGAGTATTTGTATGACGACATCTCAGCAATTAATTTACCCAATGAAATGTCCTTACTATTGTATTTTTGACAGGAAGTGTAATCTTAAAATGGTAGATAACTTAATAGTTATAAATGACAAGTGTGTACTGAATTAGAATTAAATTTTTTAGTACAGTACACAGTTTATATATATAAGTGAGTACCGTACTGAACTTTGAAAAAAGATTTTTTCAGAACGGTACTCACTTGGCTTCAGTACTGTACCGACCTTCTACATATCCCCTAAATACCATCGATAGAAGCCAATGAAAATATTCATTATATAACTTTGCTTATTCATGCATGTATGCCCTGTAAACAATAATGTATGGAATATGCACGAGAAATGCGCTCCATACTTATACTAACACTTATTATTATGCGGAATAGTGCACTTTCCGTGACGCACGTAAAACATACGAAAACGGTATTAGTATAAGTATGAGTATGTGCAAGAACCGTTTTTCTAATAGTAACAGCATCATCCCGTATCAAAATACGTTTATCAATCGAAAATGGTTTCCCCATGATAAGTATTTTTCGGTTATACCAAATGTTCTAAAATATCGCAACAAAGAAGGAGCTGATAATAAGGTACACCAGTTGTAATAAATGAAAGATTAGAAATTTGAATAAAAATGGTCTAATTGGTATATTATTTGTGAAAAGTCAAATAAATTATATTCTTTTTTGATTTTTTTTTTTTACATGTTAATAAATATCCCGATTATTTGTATTGCTGTTCTAGAAGTGTTGATCAAAGAATCAATCATTGGTATTGTATTTATTCATTCATTCATTCGATATTCTCCGATAATAATAACAATAGGAAAATAAACTAATACTGAGAAAGATGATTGGTGATGTTAATCATTTGAATGAACATTCGACACATGAATATTCGAATATTATTATTTTATTATTATTATTATTTCAATGAATATTCGGTTACACGTGTGAATATTCGAATATTCGGTGCTGCCTACCACATCAGAAATGATAATCATATTCATGATAAATTAATTTATGATTTTAATCATGAACAACAACAACAAAAGTCGTGCTTAAACAATAGAATGATTCAATAAAACGAATAATTTGAATAAAACGAGTAATTTGAATTAAGCCATCAAAACAAGTAATTTGAATAAAACGAATAAACGGAATAAAGAGTAATTCGAATAAAAACAAATAATCGGAATAAAACGAATAAAAATTTAAATATGTTACTACTATATGTCCTTAGTTTAAGACAGCACAAATAATATCTAAATGGCTAATTCAAGAAAAAAATCATAATTAGCATCCATAAATAATATGTTTACCTGTCTCTAATTAATTAATTTAACCAAAAGGCGGTATCTAGCTTTAAATTAACTGCAAGTTAATGGGTGTAGAAATTTTAAATTTTAAGCAAAAAAAAAACATATGTATTAGTATATTTATCTACCTGCCATAGAATGTTGAAGGCTTGTGTTAAATTTTTCATTATGAGGTTTATACTTAACCAATAACGCTCGCTATTTGGATATATTTTTTCACCATTAAAATATGATTTATTCAAAAGTTTGAAAACACGCACTT